TGGTGGGAGGGAGAACAGAATCACACATCATGGTCCTTTGCTAACAAATACTCTACGAAGTCAGAAGGTTTGTATTACCTGATCATGACGTGTAACGAGGTCAGCGCACACGAGTATCGTCGTAATGTCGTCTAGTACTGGTCAGACGAGTGGTCTTGTGACAATTGAACGGATGTAGATAAAGATGTATATGAAGATAACAAGAGAGGGCTTCCACCGTTAGGGCTGTAAGAGTTGAAACTAGAAATGGTACGAAGTAGAAAAGAACGTTAATATGTCTATATATAGTTCAGTGTTCCAGTTAGTAGAGTGATTTTCTTTGTCCGAGGACTTTTATTGAAACTGTTATTGTTATGGAATTTTCATGACACGGTAATCCTGCTGCAGCACCATAGAGTCTGAAACGTTTTTGGTCTTTATTGTTACATGATAATGCAGTGTTCTGAATAGAGAATCAAATGATTTGACATTAATTTCTCAGTCAATTATTCATCTACTGTTGTTTCCACAAATTCAGGAAATAATAACGGAATAGATAATAACCAATAAAAATAAGTTTAACAGTGTAGAGATGCACCGAAAACAAAATCAAAATATGAAAAAAGACGTTAAAGTTTGACTTTTATTCGAGGCTTCAAATTCAGATTTCAACAATTTTTATAACATCCTGGATTATCATGTCTAAAGTACGTTTTTTTGTTGTTTTTTTTATAGTGTTTGCTTTATTAGAAGCCCCCCCCCCCAGTAGCTCAGCGGCATGTCTGCGGACTTACAACGTTAGAAACCAGGTTTCGATACCCGTGGTGGGCAGAGCACAGATAGCCCATTGTGTAGCTGTGTGCTAAATTACAAACAAACAAGCTTTATTAGTATATGCACAATTTATTAATCTAGAAGCTGATGTGTTTGTTAGACAATGTATGCAATATTGACGATAGCATATAATTTCAAGCTTAATTTTTTCCCGTATGTAATCAATATTGCCTCTTCTTTTGGTTCCGGAAACAAACAAAAGTACTGTTTGTGCTACAGGACGTTTGACGATTACGTCCAACAAACCGCCGGAAAAGCGTTATTTGAAAGAGTCTGCTTGTATGGTATTTCTGTTACGCGGAAAAGATCAGTTTGTCATAACAGGAAGCAAGTGACGTGCACTAGGAGTCATTTGAAAGAACAGTTTTGATATAATAGAGGTTTACTTTCATGTACAGAGGTTTGAATATGTTATACTAAAACAGTTTTGAATAAGTAAGTCAAGAGACATAGCCAATATAAAGTCGCGGTGAAACAGAATGTATCAGAACTACATTTTGGCATCATGTAGCTAGTGGATGCCATCGAAAACTGAGCGCTTTTAGGAGGGCTAATAACAGCCCTTTCTGATGTAATATGTTCATATACATAGATCATAAACTTGTGTTCAGATTGGGTAATTAGAATTTTAAAGGTGAGGATATTCATTGTGCTTAATGGAATTGGAAAACAAAAGATTATGAATAAACTTGGAGCACCAGGATCATCCAAAAAAAGAGACCTGCAACAAGTCATACCCTAACCATGGTAAGCAAAGTGTAGCATTTTGTAACATACGAGAATTCACCAAGACAAATATTAGTGGCAAAAGCTGATCACGCACCCCTGGTAACAGTACGCAATATAATAAAGAAAACACAACTGTCGCATAGTTTCTGTAGCTGGAGGACAAAATAAGTGTTCGTGGTATTTAGTTCACGCAGAGGCATAATGAGTGGTCAAGTCACCGATTGCAATGCCTATGGAGTTATTTGCTATTGAATTATTGAGACAATTGGGGAACCGTCGTTTTCGTTCTCTAGATGGATTGTGGATGACAGTCTTACGACGGATCCTTTTGTGATTGAAAATAAGCTGCACGCTCATCAGATAGAGGATGACTAGTCTTGTGGATTTTAACGACATTTTGAGGCTCCAAAATCGTGTTATTGTAATTCTGTACAAACTATGCCCAAATAATATGTAGTTCTTCAATTAATATTAAACATTCTCTTTGGGTATTCCTATGCGTTGCTTATCAAGTTAGCTATTTTACACAAATACATACTTGCGCATGCCCCCACAGCGGTATGTCTGCGGACTTACAACGCTAGAATCCGGTTTTCGATACCCGAGATGGGCAGAGCACAGATAGACAACTGTGTAGCTTTGTGCTTAATTACAAACGAACAAATACTTGCGCATATTCAGTAAGTCTTGAATCAGACCTTACTGTAGAATCTGTTTGAATGATTATAACTTGTATATTCCACAAGATCTAAGCTAAAGGATAAACCTGTCCGTTGTTATTGTGCATATGGTCCCACCGCAAAGGAAAGAATACGTAGCGATGAAATTTGTTCTTTTTATGTATTCTCAAACCTGCAATTTTTGACTCTGACATCTCAAACAAACCTGAAACGTTGCAGTTCAATGCATAATTTCAAAATCCTGAACGTGCACTCGCGCTTCGTCCAAATATGTACTCTGAACAGCGGAAGTTCACAGCCCTATTTTAATTTAATTATCTTATTGGTCAATTATTTAAAATTAGGTTTATATTTGTTAATATTCAAAAGCGAGGAGGTATAAGTGCGTAACTCGCGGGTACAGAAACGTAATTTTTTTAATCGAAAGTATATTCTAATGTATATGTTAAAGATAAATATAGCATATTGTGATAATTAAATATCAAAGTAATATTTACAGCTTATAGGTAAAAAGTTTGTTTTTTTTATGAAAGAGAAATGTAAAGCTAGTCCTGTAGTTAGTATTGTCAGACTGTGCATCTACTTTGGTTTTAGTGAATTCTAACTTTATATATATATATATATATATATATAAACAAGTTAAAACTAAACAATGCCAAAAATCAGGTAAAAAAATAAATAGAAGTAAAAAGGCCGATGGCCCGCTAAAAACATAAATTAAGTATATATATAATCCAGTAATTAAAATTCTTGCGTTAAAGAGTTTTGAAGCCTGTGATATTAATAGTGGTTTCATTTCTACTAAAATGATTAAACTAGAATATTAATAAACAATTAAAATAACCTATGAGTTTGCTTCTATAAAGTAGAATTTGTAAACTGAGTAATGTAGTATAAACTACAAGATACGAGTTAAAATAACAACCTAGGCTGTGATGATAAAGTTATGAAATTTATGTGT